AAGAGGGAAAAATGCAAGCATTATGTTACTGTGGCCACAGAGCTGTAACAAAGACATCTTAGATGGATTTAAACTCTGGAAGAAGGTTTATCACTTGCGCAAAAAATGAGGTAATTCGTTGATTGTGTTTCCCATAAAAGTTCTTTTGTTTCCCTTTTTGTTCATAAGATTTTTGGTTTTAATCAGTTGATCAAGTACAGATCCATATGCGTGAAATATTTGTTGATTTTATATGTGATTTTTGTATTTAAAATTTCTATTTTTCTGATAAAGATTGAAGAAGAAATTTTTTTTTACAACAAACTGAAGTTAAAATGGTAGTATATTTCCCTATGTATTGTGTAAAAATTGTTAGTTGGTTTATAATATTGTTTTTTTTTGTGCAATTAGTTTCGATTATTTTTTTTTATTGATCATTGATATTTTTTTTATTGATAAATAGCTTGTCTTTGAATTTTTTTGTTTTTTTTGGAGCAATTGATATCACTTGTTGTTTTTTTAATGATGATTAGCTTCACTTTGAATTTTTATTATTGGTGATTAGCTTGGCTTTGCATATCTATAACCTTTTTTTAATATTTAAATATTTTCTCATTTATAAAATCATACAAATATTTTGAGTAAATAAGTTCAATTAGAATCGTGAAGACTAACAAATAATGTGAAGAGAGAAAGTATTTGGTAGCATTGTTTGTGTTGACGATTCTATCTAGACTTTCATTCTATCTCATATATATACTATTCATAACCTGTGCTTGAAGGCACAAAGGAAAGAAAAATTCGAGCGCTCAAAAAATCGATCTCATTATATTAATTTTTTTAGCATGTGTATACTATCGTATATGGATAATATTTGAAATAAAACTTATGTTAAACTATAAATTAATCAAATATTAAATGATTGAACATGTGATAGAATGAGTAATGTGATGTTTTTAGGGAGGAAAATATGTAGGATAAAAATTCAAGTTGCTATGTGTTATATATATATATATACAGAGAGAGAGAGAGTATGAGAGATGAGAGAGTGTGTGTTTAAAATATTTGTGAGAGAGAAAGATAGAGTTATATACACGTATAAGAGTTGGGTGTATAAGATAGACAGAGAAAGAGAGTTATATTAGAGATGAGAGTCTTAGAATTTTAAAAAAGAATAAAAGTCAAATTAGATTCGTCGAATAAAAATTATCAAACGATTTGAGCGCGCGAAAAGTTCAAGACAAATAAATCTACCTACTTTATTATATAGATGATAAATAGTGTTAGACTTTTGGCATTTGTGTAAGGGTAGATTAGGAATTCAAAAGGTACATTAAGTGTACAAATAAATGATCTTATCTTTCTCAAGTTGTAAAAATACAAGTGTGAAATTGTTTTTAGAAAATTAAATAAGGTTAAAATAGACAAATAAAAAATTTTTCATGGTAAGAGACTTTTATAAGTAAACTAGCAATGCACGACGTGCGTTGCACATAAACTAATTAAATAATAATATTTTTTATAAAAAATATGAATTATATATGTACTTAAATTAAATAATAAATTAAGTGCCGAATAATTCATTCGTATTTTCATTATTGTTAAATTTAATTATTAATTTATTCTATAAGTTTTGGGTACTTAATCTGTCATTTATTTTGGTATCTCTCTGACCTCTTTAAGCATTTTCATATTTAATTATATTATAAAATTATTAATTTTTATTTTGTTAAATAGATTTGATTTGATCACTTATAATATTATTATATTATTGCATACTAAAAAATAAAATATAACATATATTTGATTGTGTAATTCACTCTGGTAACTACATGTATATAATAATTTAACATATTTTACTTTTTCATATAGATATATAAAATTGTATGTAACTGTACTACTAATAAATGAGTTTAAAAGAATTTATAAGTTTTTATAAAAGAGTACAAAATAAGTTGAAAGTCAAATATGTATAAAAAATAAAAATTAGATGAAAGTATATAGGTGTGTATAATTGACTTTATTATAATAAATATGGATAAAATATAATTATACTACTAATAAATGAGTTCAATTTGATTTTGTGTTATTTATCCAAGAAAAAAAAATAAATGAGTTCAAAAAAATTTAGAAGTTTTTATAAAAGAGTCTAAAATAAGTTGAAAATCAAATAGGTATAAAAAATTAGATAAAAGTATATATATGAGTATAATTGATTTTATCATAATAAATAAGGATAAAATTAAAAATTAAAAATTTTCCCAGATACTGATTTTTATAAATAAAATAATATAGATGTACAATTACAAGCCACAGGCTCAACTTGACTAAATGCCTGATAGGTCCAATTAACGGCCAAATATTGTGACACATGGGTCGCAATAGCCTCATGGGGAATCACGTTGATTACGCTAGGATGTCATTAGTTACAAGGGATCATAGAGATCATACAAGGCAATCATGCAAGACAACTATACACTATTAATAAGGGCCAAATTCCTCGTATTTGTAATCAAGCAAGCATATGTGCTTTTACTCTGTGCAATCTCCTTCCCCCCAATTAATAGAAAATTCCCTAGGAGCAAGAGTCTCAATTATAATGGACTAGCCAAGCTTTCGAACTAGTGAACCAATATAAATTTTTTGACTATTAATTTTCATTCTTTGTTATTGAATCGATAGCTCAACCCCTAAGAGCCTAGAAGCTCTGACTGGTCATTCTAATGATCCCCCAAATCCCCAAATAGTTCATCTCTGCTCAATTGTGCCGTTTGTGGGGAAGATTGTTTTCGATTCCTATTAAAATTCTACTAATCCATTCAATAATTGATGGTCTTTACGTGCAACACGAGCAAAAATCAAGTGAATCCCTTATGCTTACAGAACTAGAGGTGTTCCAATTTTTGATTATTCTAATATTCCGACCCTACCCAACCTTACTGATCGGCTACCGCAAAAAAATCGGGTCGGTTAACGAAAAAAATTTTGGTATTCCGTAAAAATCGGGTAAGAATGCAGAGTGCTCATAAAAATTCCGTCTTCGTACCCGATACTATCCGCATATATCTATACTACTTTAAAAAGTCACTATACTTGAAAAATATTTTTTTCCAATTTTACCCTCCAACTATGAAAATATTACATTCTTAACTTTTATTGATATTTAATCTTTTTTTAATGATAATCTAAAATTATGTTTAACCGTTCAAATTGTTCAACCCTACATATTCTACAATAAGCATTCAAAGGATTGAATAATAGTAAATACATCAATTGCTAGATTAATTACCCTACTTAATTACCAACAATATGATTAGGTCATTTTAATCTCTCCACAATAATAATGAAGTATCCCTCATCTCTCTAGATGTATATTTAATGGGGTTTGATTTTGTATTTCTTTTCCAAATTTTCTCTTTCTTGTGTCCATATATTAAAATTTTCACTTTGTTTCTAGTATCTATTTGGAGTACAAAGCCAATTTACTTTTTAATTCTGTGTTTTAAATTAATTTTAGTTGATTTTTCAAATAAAAATCATTTGGTTTGTTTATTGAAATTTTATTCAAAGAGAATGGAAAGCAGCTTTGAGAACCAGATGGTCTTAGATTTAGCCATGGACAAATCTCTGATGGAGAAAGGATTCACTATAGTTCACTAAACCTTAATAGATGATACTACGAAAAACGCACTCCTTCATCTCTCTCTCTCTCTCTCTCTCTCTCTCTGTTTTTTATTATTGGAAATGCACCCCTTCATCTCTATCTTTCTATCATCTACTTAATAGTCGGCTATCATCTACTTAACAACACATGTGAAAAATGTGACTGCATTTTTGATTGCTCTTAATACAATGATGTAGGTATGACAATGGGTAGCTCTACAAGAATCTTAAAATGGTCCATTTGTAACGCACACGTGCACCAACTAATATATATATATATATCAGGCACAGAGAGCCATGTGGCAGCCCCTTCTTGGGGACACTGTGCATGCGTATACTGGTGGCTTACCTTGACCCCCAACAATATCCGATGTGAATTGTTGGATTAAGGCCGAGTGGCATGGTCCGACCAAGGAGGTTCGGACCCTATCCATCAACGGGTATCTATTGGAGAGTGGCGATGAAGTGGAGATTTTAGTTCATGTAAGATGATGTTTTAACGTAAAAGGAGTTACAATTTTACCTGTTTATGACTGCAAGAGGCGAGTGTGCAACCAATGTTCTTCATGAGGATGTCTACTATAAAAATGTGGCGGCTAGGGTAGCGACTAATCCTCAAACAATTTGGTATGGGTGATGAAGCACAAAAGATACATTGTTCAATCTTATCATTTTTAATTTAATTTTAATAATAATCTATTTTTCTATTGCATTATTCATTACAGTGAGAATTGGTTAAAAGTCCAATCATATGCACTTTTAAGCCATTAAATCCAAGTAAGGTACTTTTGAAGCATTAAGGACATGTCATATGCTATTTTTTGTACAAAAAAAAATAAAAAAAAATGCTATGTTTTGTCTTTTGATCCAATCTAATTAAATTATTTTTAATTACTAAAAGACCCTTGAGTGTATTACATTTCTTTTATCTCTCTTATCCTCTATTCTCTCTTTCTCATTATTTTTCACCCTCTTCTCCAATTTTTAGAAATTTTCTCTCCTCTCCCCCACTCTTTTTTTCTCTCTTCTCTCATACTCACTATTCTCCATTTTTTTTAAAAAAAAATTTCTCTCTATTATCTTCCACTGTCTCCATTTTTTTCTATCGCTTTTCCATCCATTTATCTCTCAAGCTTCCATTATTTGAAAAATCTTCTCTCCTCCCCCATTTTTCTCTCTCCTTCTCAACTCTATCTCTCACTCCTTTTCTCCCTCTTCTCCATTTGTTTAGAAATCTTCTCTCTCTCCTCGTCCACTCCTCATCAAACATCATGAAGGTTGGTTGTAGGATAATCATCTTCAAATTTAGAACAAATCTGAGCCTAAATCCGAACAGCATAGCTGCACTAAAAACAAAGATGTTTGGCACTTTCATCTTCAAGAATGCACAGGGCACAAAGAGTCATTATGTTGAGGTAAAATATGCTAACTCAATCTGTTGTAATAAGCCCAGAGTTGAGGGCCATCCAGGGGATAATGCTGAAATTGGTTGCGAATCTGAAGTGATGGCACAACATAAGCCGCCATACCTCCGAAGGCTCTGCTTTGCCATAGATTCATTTTGGTTTCATTCAAAACCTCTCCTTGACCCATCCTCTTTGATTCTAATTGTAGGGCATTCAATTTACTTCTCTCTAGGCCTTAACGACAACGAAAACGTTCTCCGAAAGGCTTTCCTTTCTGCTTTACTGTGGTTTACCCATAGCAATCAATGGCAAAGGTTACAGAAAAAGCCAACCCTGTGAGATCCCAAATTTTTAGAAGTAGTTTATGTGTAAAATATTATGAGTTTTGATGTGAAAGTATAAGGAATAGTTAAGTTTTGTGGTTGATATATATAATAAGTGAAATAAAGGGGAGTAAAGTATAAATATCTTAACATTTATACTTCTTTGGTCTTTACCCACGTGAAGACTTTGAAAAAAAAAAGAGAGACAAGACAAAGAAAGAGAGAGAAAGAATAAAGAAATGAGATTTCAGCTAGCATTGAATATATTGTAGAAAAAGTCGTGGAATTTTTTTTTCAACACTTGTCAATTAATTTGGCAGAAGACGTCCCACCTTCCTAGCATATAAAGATAGCCAAAAATAAAAGAAAGTGAAGAAAGTCTTGAAAGATAAATCGAGAGACAAACAGGGAGTTGTCTGGTAGAAACAAAGAAGAGGAAAATGGGAAATAAAGGGCTACCCGAAAATAAGAAGAATGAAACGGAAATCAGAGTTATCGAATTCAAATAATGATTCTGAGGTATGAGGTGATATACAATATGCTCTCTTTAAATCTCTTTGCAAAGAGTATTTCTTTGATTATCCTTTGATTTGTATTCCAACTTGTGCTATCATTATTTTGAAATTTCGATTGAATATCGTTGAGTATTTTGATCTCATTGATCGTGTTCTTGATCTCATTAATCGTGTTCTGCGGATATGGAGACGGGATCGTAACAGTCAATAGTCGGTGCATCGCCAACCAAGACACCCGTGGGATCGGGTTGAAGTGGGATGATCGGTGAGGTGTCAGATCAGTTTTAAGATTCTGCATGACGTGTGATATGCAAATATGCTATTTGTATATGTTGATTGAGATACTTTGTGATACTCGATTATTTGTTATTCAATGTCCTTAAGCATATTTTTCCTGGTCATATTGTATACTTCCCCGCTTTATTTAATATTTTCAAATTGATTTTAGAGAAAATATCGGAACGAGATAATCAGAGTATTAAAGACGAGGAGATGTCGATGGATTTGATGTTTTAATCCTGTTGAGAGATTTATTTATATTGACAGATTTATTTGTATTGGGAGATAATTTGATAAATAAAATTTAATTTGGACAATTAGTGCTCTGTTATTTTTATTTGAGTGTTTTTATCAATTAACGTCTCTGAAAAGATTGAAAAAAAATCGGGGCATTACAAACCCAACCCAACTGTTGACTAATAAATAGGGTTGGAGTAGCAGAACCTATGGAAACAACGACAAAGCTCGAGACAAATCGAGACGCTCAATTTCTCTTTGCTATTTTTCTCTTTCTTCTTTTCTTTCTCTCTCTCTCCCACTTTTTTCTCTCTCTTCTCACCTTTTTTTAGAAATATTCTCTTTTTTCTCCCCCACCCTTTTTCTCTCTCTTCTCCTCCACTCTTTCCATTTGTTAGAAATTTTCTTTTTCTTCTCCCCCACTCTCTCCCTCTCTCTCTATTCTCGTACACTCTCTTTCCCATCTTTTTCTCTTTCTTTTCCATCGTCATCTTCATGCATTTGCTCTCTTTAAAATACACAAATCCATATTCTCTTTGTTGGATTCTTGATTGGTCATACAATTTTAAATGGAGATTTAATCTATGGATCAATAGTGAAGTACATATTATAATTGATTTACTATTTTTCTAATATTTCTCTATTTTAATTCAATTGCAGTGTATGTTATTTTGGTAGTTTTTACTATTTTTGAGTTCATATTTTGTACTCCTGTTCACTATTTTTCAATTTTGTTGAGTTCACTTTACTTTATGTATGTTTGTCATGTTGAAGGAGATGCCTTAATAGAGTTATTAAAATCTAATCAGTTACATTATTTAAACACAATTTATTCTTCTTTCCAATTAAAATTCTAAATCAAATTAAGTTAGTTTTGAAATTAAGACCGAATCTCATTAGCCTCTTCATTGTTTTCGTGCGCATTATTTTGTTTACTGTTTATGTTTTTTTAATTTTTTTGAGTTAACTTCTTTTAATATATGTTTTTCAATTCAAAAGAAATGTCTTAACGAAATTATTAAATTCCAATCATTTTTTTAATTAATAAAAATTTATTTTTCTTTTAAACTAAATCTTTTAATCAAATTATTCTAATTTTTAAGTTAAGACTAAGTCTCATTACCCTCATCACTATTTTGTGTTCATTGTTTTGTGTTTTACGGTGTTGAGTAAGAGGAGAGAGAGACTTGGATTAATGAGACACATAAATAGGAGAGATAAATTTAAGGAATAACACAAATAAATACGAGAAACATTTGAGGAATAGAGGAGAGAGAAAGGGATGGATGACAGAGAAAAAAGGAGAGAGAGAAAATATGAGAGAAATTTGAGGAAGAGATTAGAGAGAGAGAGAAATAGATGAGAGAGAGAGAGAATGAGACAAATAATTAGGGGAGAAAAATGAGGAATAGAGGAAAAAGAACTTTGAGGGAGAGAGAGAGATTGAGGCAAACAAATATGACATAAAATTTGATGAATAGAGGAGAGATAATGTTAACCAAAATATATATGTCGATATATAATCAGATTAAGGAAATAATTACTGTAGAAATTTATAAATCAAGTAAGTATACTGTTATATGCAAACTAATAAATAAAATAAAATGTTAAAACAGAAATGCACTTACAGTGATACAAAACAACAATTAATAAAATAATAATCCAAAAATCGGGAATCAATCTGAACTCTGTATAATAACAGTTTCTTTAAAATAGATTTGCTCCCTCTTAGTACTTAAGGTTGATAAACTACTGTCACTCAAGATAAAACGGATTTCGTGTTTTCAGAAGTAGCACTTCAATTTCCAAAGACCAACAAACATAATTCTGTGTTTTTTGTACTTGAACCGAACTAAAAATGTAATGCAGAAAGAGGGAGAGTAGATGCAGCAGTATACAGAATTACTGTCTTTTTTCGCTAATGAGAATGACTTGAAGACAGTCAATTTATACACCTTTAATCTGAATAGTAATGGAAGGGAAAGACACCTCTCACAAAGAATAGACAAATATCAATTCCAGTGCCAAATTTAAATAATTAACAGGCATAAAATTTAAAAATCCGTTTGTATATTTAAATTTTGGTTGGAAGATTGATTACGATCTGAGTCTGAATCCGTTTGGTTTGACCCATAACATGCACCACACCAAATAAATTTTCTCCAAAAAGATAATATCTATTTAACCTAAGGCCAAATCCTAAGCCTAGTCTGATAGGGGCGAAGAGGGTGGCGCACGCACGCGATAACCAAGGTTGTATGGCTGCTCACTCTGTTCAAAAAAGTGTGGTACCTCTTTGGGATCAAACCATAAAGCCAACTAAGAGTATGGTAACTCACTAAGTTTTTGGTCTTCTTTTAATATGTAACAAGCCTTATACACTAAACTTCATTAAACTTAGTTCCTTCCACTCATTACAGTGGGTCAATTTGAGACATAATTTATCATTCAATATTTAATAGTTTTGAATAAATAAATATATCACGTTAATCTCCTCGTGGAGGATAATGGGTTTAAACTTGGTTCCTCCGATTTCAAAGTACGGGTCCCACTTTTATTTAAACCCAAAGTTTTCCAAAATAATTATTCTAAAACAATTATTTTCAACAATCTCCCACATAAATGAAAATTCAATGTATGAAAATACAAATGTTAGTGCAAGTACAATTGCAAGGTTACTGCATCAGAATAAGTAGCCTAGTGGCATTTAACTTTCTGTAGTGAAAGACTATCGGATTTACTTGGCCAATCAATGAACTTGATGTCTTTGAAATGTCAACTATTTGTGTAAATCAAGACAATATAATTCACATAGTTTTCCTTCCAACACTGTGGATTCTTATGTTTATGTTCACTTTTGCCTTGAAAATCATTTGGTTTCTTGAGTAATTTAGAGCAATCAACCTGAGATTCTCATATAAGAGGCTCCTCTTTACTCACTTAGGTGATTTTTTATTGAGAATATCCTACTTGGACTATTCCAAGTCACATAAATCATTAAAAATGTAACTTACCCTAGTTCTTGCACCAGATATATATTGTCTCATCTTTGGAATGGGAAGGAGTTGTAAACCTCCTTAGTGCGTCTCTAAGTTACATATAATTTGGTTATCCTTTTAAAATTAGATGTTGGGATCTCCAGTGAGTTAAGTTGGGTTGTCATTTTAGTAACTATTTAACTAATCAGCTTTAAGTTCATTCTCCTTGATAAACTTTCTACTTGCTCTCTAGTCAATCATTTTGTAAGCGAATCCACAATATTATCATTTAACTTCACATAGTCAATGAATATAATACTATTTGATAGCAATTGTCTAACGATATTATGACTTACGACATATATGTCGAGACTTATTATTATACATATAATTTTGTGTCATTCCAATCATAGATTGACTATCATAATATAAATTTTAGCAACAACAGTAATAATTATAATTTTTTTTAAAGAAAAAATTAGATTTTTATTTTTAATGTTATTTCAATAAATGACTTAATAGAACATGAATTTTTGTTAAGAAAAAATTAGATTTTTATTTTTAATTATATTTCAATAATTAACTTAATAGAACATGAATTTTTGTTGTAAATTTAAAATATTTGATATTCTATCTTTAATTGAAGTATTTTTTGTCAAAGTATAATATTTTAAAGTTGTGGGGTCCAAGTATTACATGTTTCAAATTTTAGGAGTCAGGATATAATTTATTAATAGATATACTAACGAACATTAACGACAGAGTTTTATATGTTACGCGCATACAAACCGCAAGAAATTTGTTTATAATATTTTAAAGGGTTAAAAAAAAAACCCCAAACTAAGCCACAATCTCTTCACCCCCTACACTTTTATGGATTTTACTTAACTCCTTCCAACTTGTGAACAAACTGTAAATGTTAACCAATGTAACAGTTTATACAAAAAGACTAAACTACCCTTATTATAATCCAAGCCTAATCTTTAAAAACAAAACCTGCATCTAGC